TGGCGCCACCTTCAGCCTGGGGTGTGATCCTGGAGACCCAGGATCGAGTCTCACGTTGGGTTCCCTGCATGGAGCCTACTTCTCTCTCTCTCTCTCTCTGCCATGAATAAATAAATAAAATCTTAAAAAAAAAAAAAAAGAAAAATACCATATGATCTGGCAATCCCACTTATGGGAACATACTCAAAAGAAGTAAAAACAAGGATTCGAACAGATATCTGTACACCCATGCACTATTAGCAGTACCATTCAGAATAACTAAAACTTAGAAACAACCCAAATGTCCACCAGTGGATGAATGATTTAAAAAAGTAGTATAAACATACGATGGGATATTATTCAGTCTTAAGGAGAAAACTGTGACATTGTGAACCTTGAGGACATTATACTAAGTAAAATAAGCCAGTTACAAGAAGGTATATACCATACAATTCCACTTACATGAGCTATCAATGAGGTAGAATGGTGGTCCCCAGGGGCTGGGGCAGAGGGAAATGGGGATTCCTTTAAGTAATATAGTATTGTTTTACAGGATGAAAAAGTTCTGGAGATTGGCTGTACAATAGTGTAAATATACTTAACACTACTTAACTGTGAACTTTAAAATGGTTAAGATGGGGCAGCCCAGGTGGCTCAGCAGTTTAGTGCCACCTTCAGCCCAGGGTGTGATCCTAGAGACCCGGGATCGAGTCCCACGTCACGCCTGCTTCTCCCTCTGCCTATGTTTCTGTCTCTGTGTGTGTGTGTGTCTCATGAATAAAAAAAATAAAATCTTTTTTTTAAATGGTTAAGATAGTACGTTTCATGTTATGTATATTTTACCACAATTTTCAAAAAAGATGATAAGGCACAAATCAAGAAGATTTAATTTTTACACTTACGCACAGATGTAAACAGAGGGTGGACACTTTGTGAAGGCTGGCAGACAGGGTGGACAAAACAGAGATGTTTCAAAGAGGGCTTAGAGATGCCTCGTGTGAAATGAGTTCAGCTACTGTACTTCTCCACTTTCGTGACTGGCTTTGGAGCAGATCCTTCGGCCTCTGTCCCTGTGGTGCATTGAACATTGGTATCCTGCAGCCACAGGCCAGCAAGAAGCTGGGTCCGTCAGGCCAAAAGGGCCCAAATGCACAGATGGTAGTTACATCACTCCTTCCGTTTAACATGTTAGTTCTCTATATACTAGTGTCCAACCACAGTAACAATATTTATATTTTCGTCTTTACAAAGCACTTTCTCTAGAATTTCTCTGGATGTTGAGAATTTTGCCTTTCTTCTTAATATTAAAGGTTTCCTCCTCATGTTTATAAGTTGTTTAGAGTGTCTTCACACTACCCCAATTTATTTTACTTAGGATTTTCACAGAATCTGATGGAAGGGATGAGAACTTATCTTTGCAGGACATTAAGGCAAGTTAGATGTCTCTTCAACCCTCTCTGAGAACAGTGGATGACATCCCATTTCAGAGGACTCCACAGGGAACTTCAGAAAGCCAAACTTGAGTCCTAGTGGATGATGGGCATTTTAAAATATTAAGGAAATTGGCTCCAGCTTGAGTGAAAAAGATTAGCTAATCTACTTGAAGTAAATGAGGTTTGAGAACTCAGAGGGCAAAAATCACTTAAAGTAAATAGGCTGTTTGGGGATCAGCACATGTGAGGTTTCCCAAGCATTCTGCTAATATTATTCTATTCTTAAAAACTAAAACCCGGGCAGCCCGGGTGGCTCAGTGGTTTAGCGCCGCCGCCTTCAGCCCAGGGCGTGATCCTGGAGACACAGGATCAAGTCCCACGTGGGGCTCCTTGCATGGAGCCTGCTTCTCCCTCTGCATCTCTGTGTGTGTGTCTCTCGTGAATAAATAAATAAAATCTTAAAAAAAAAAAAAAACCTAAAGCCCCCTGATTTAAATAGAAGTAGTGAAGGACATGATCCTCATTACTTTGTAGTCACACCTTATTAACCTACTACCTTCTTCCATAATAGCCAATGCACCAAGAATTGTTTAAAAAGCACCTTCACTCTGGAGGATGCTGACAAGCAAATTACTGACAGGGAGGAAAAGACCATCATAAAAGATGGCACTTTAAGTGATCATGAAAAGTCCAGATAAGGATGGCAACCATTTTTTGGCTTATTCAAACTATAAGAATTCAAAGTAAATTCTATTATATATATGTTAGTGTCTCTATTTTAAAAAGGTTTTCTATTTTTGTAATTTACATTGATAAAACATTTATTATAAAAATATTGCAAAAAAATCAGAAACATAACACCCTTTTAAAAAAGGAAATAAATACTACCTGTAAAACCCAGACTCAACCTCTGCTGGTACAATCCAACATTTTAAGTGCCTTGTTTGTTTGTTTTTTTTTTTTTTTTTGATTTTTTATTTATTTATGATAGTCACAGAGAGAGAGAGAGGCAGAGACACAGGCAGAGGGAGAAGCAGGCTCCATGCACCGGAAGCCCGATGTGGGATTTGATCCCGGGTCTCCAGGATCGTGCCCTGGGCCAGAGGCAGGCGCCAAACCGCTGCGCCACCCAGGGATCCCCTGTTTTTTTTTTTTTAAGATTTATTTATTCATGAGAGACACACAGAGAGAGAGGCAGAGACACAGGCAGAGGGAGGAGTAAGCTCCACGCAGGGAACCCGACGCTGGACCCATCCCAGGTCTCCAGAATCACATCCTGGGCAGAAGGCAGGACTAAACCGCTGAGCCACCCCGGCTGCCCTAGGTTGGTTTTTTTGAGGGTTGTCTCTCTGTTCCTATCCTTGTTCACCCCCTTGTGGCCATGATATGAAGAAGCCAAGAGCTAGGCAGAAAAAAGAGAGGAGCGAGAGAAAACCAAAGGGCCTGGATAATAAACGGATCACCTCTCACTTTAACAGTGTTTTACATAATCAAGGTAAGTCTGCTCGAAATCTATATGGGTCAAGATCTTGACAGGAAATAATAGATGGAAGACTTGAAGGACTTATTGTAAATTATCCCTTCGTTAAACTTCTTGCAAGTATGGGCAGAAGTAAAGGAAACTGAAGTGTCCTCCATATACCTCCTCCAGAAGTCAAGGAACCAAGTTTTTGCAATCCTTCAAGATCCTGCCTTTTAAGGCACAAAGTAGAGTGAGGGGTAGAGTGCATCTGGCTGGGCAAACAGAGTAGGTCCAGGACATAGTTTTTCTAAAATATTTCATTGTAATTCTACTTTCTTTTATAAGGCATGAGTTCAAGGGATACATTATGGAATTATGTATAATTTAGAGTTAGAAACCTATGCAGTTCCTACGGTTTGCTTGGCAAACACCAGCGGTAATAGAATTTCACACTACCAGAAAACATTCCTTAGTCTTCTCTATTCCAGCTGTGCCCATGGAGGTAGAAGCCTGGCATTCAAGGGGCTCAGATCATTAGATCCTTTGGCATTAGAATGACAATAAGATAGGGGAACAAAGGAGAAAGAAATTGAGAGCTCAGTTGCTGTTTGCTGCTAGTCCTCTTCCACATTGCCCCTACAAAAAAAAGTAAACTCCACCGTTCCCATATGGTATTAAGACCCACACTGGGGGCACCATGGGCTCAGTGGTTGAGCATCTGCCTTCCGCCCAGGGCATGACCCCAGAATCCCAGAATCCAGTCCTAGTCGGGGTCCACGCATGGAGCCTGCTTCTCCCTCTGCCTGTGTCTCTGTGTCTGTGTCTCTCATGAATAAATAAAATCATTAAAAAAAAAAAAAAGACCAACACTGATTACCTATTAATCACATTAACATGTCTGAGACACCAACAAAGCAGATCACCAAAAATATGTGAACATTTAGGGATAAAGCTATTTTTGTTTTGGCATGTTTGTAAATTTTGTATCGTTCTTGAAAAGTGAAATTTTATTTCATGATTTAGTATAGTTTTAACAGGAGGTGGTCGCGGGTAGGGCCATAACACATGATAATCTTTCTACAGTAGCTCTGCTTCTTCCAAAGATCAACTGTGAAGAAAGGGGATCCCTGGGTGGCGCAGCGGTTTGGCGCCTGCCTTTGGCCCGGGGCGCGATCCTGGAGACCCGGGATCAAGTCCCGCATCGGGGTCCCGGTGCATGGAGCCTGCTTCTCCCTCTGCCTGTGTCTCTGCCTCTCTCTCTCTCTCTCTCTCTGTGACTATCATAAATAAATAAAGGGGGGGGGGAGTACCTCCGCCCGACAATTGCTGCCGCTCCCGAGGACAGAGCACGGGAGGCCGCGGGTACCGCGTCTCTAACCCTTGCCAGGGGCTCAAGAGTATTTGGCTCTTCCATCCCCCTTTCCCCAATTTTTGTTACTTTTCTTTGGGAAGCTAAGTCTGAGAGTTCACAGAACAGAAACACGCATTTCGCTCGATAATCTTCAACAGAACGTTTATAACCAACAGAAATCTTAGGCAGGAGTCTGTTCTCTTTCTGCCATCAAGAAAGTGAAAATACTGGAGACGACCTCTGCGATCTCAGCTTGGTTCCCCCGACCCCCGACGCTGTTTACGGTAAAGCCCTGAAAACAACGATCGGTGTCGTGCCGGGTAGGCGGCCTTCAACTCTCTCCCTTTTCACAATAGTCGGTGTACCTGTTCCACTAAGAGTCTTCTAGGCACAGACATCATCCCCTTCACACACAAACGGGAGCCTTTGCATCTCACACGTCTTGGAGCATCCCTACAACTTTTCTAAGCGCTCTCGTGTGGACCCGCGTCTCCTAAAGCAGACACCGGTTCAGACGGTCGTCGCTCTCGGTCTCACAGTCTCCCACTCTGGCGCGGTCCCGCTGCCACAGCCACGCACAGGTCCGCACCGCCGCTCTGTGGGTGGACCCCGCCGACGCACCTGACCCTGGGCTCAGACCGCCTTCCGGCCTCGCGCGCCGGAAGTACTTTGCCTCATTTCCGCCTCGCAAGCGATTGGCTCAAGACTCCTTCCCTTGGCTTTGAGCCCGCAGCTCGAGCCGGCCCCCGCCTCTTGCGCGCAGTGATGACGACATCGGCCGGCGGCGGCGGCGGCGGCGGCGGAGACTGGGGGACGGTTAGGGCTTCCTGGGCTGCAGGCCTGGCTGTTGCGAGCTGCTGTCATGGCGGCCGTGCAGTGGGGCTTCATTTCCCTCCTCCTCTTGCTGCTCTCAGGGGATGCCCGGAGCTCGGAGCTGCCTGGGGCTGCTGCCGATGGGTCAGGCGGGATTGGGGTCGGCACAGGAGACCGCTTCAAGATTGAGGGACGTGCGGTTGTTCCAGGGGTGAAGCCCCAGGACTGGATCTCGGCGGCGCGAGTGCTGGTAGACGGAGAAGAGCATGTCGGATTTCTTAAGTGAGCCTCCTGTGGGCAGCGGGAAAGCGGTTGGCGTGGACGCTAGAGAGGAATTGCCCCTACGCGAGCCAAGTATCGGAGGGCGAAGGGGTGGGCGCCGGTAGCGGTCTGTGCCGGGAGACCTTGGGGGGCAGCCCTAAGCTTCCCCTTTCCTCCCCATCACCCCGTTTCCCTGTACCTCAGAAGTGAGGGTGGCAGGTGCTTGTCCCAGGGCGGAGCGGGGGGGAGGGTCAGTTTTCTTCAACTCCGTTTTTGCCTTGTTACGGGGTCGACCACTCCTCGGCCCTGCGGACGGGTGGACCTCTTGTTTTATGCTAAATTCTCTGCGTCTCATGTGATTTCCTCCCAATCTGGCCACCTTTTTAAAAGATTTATTTATTTATTCATGATAGACATGAGAGAGAGAGAGAGAGAGAGAGAGAGAGAGAGAGAGGCAGAGACACAGGAGGAGGGAGAAGCAGGCTCCATGCACCGGAAGCCCGACGCGGGACCCGATCCCGGGACCCCAGGATCGCGCCCTGGGCCAAAGGCAGGCGCCAAACCGCTGAGCCACCCAGGGATCCCAGAATCTGGCCACTTTTGCATTCATTTCTGTCTTTTGGCAGCTTGATGTTGTGTAGAAATATGCCGAGCGAGTGGGAATTCTCAAAGCCCAAAGGATTTCTATGATGGCATAGACTGGGAGGCTAATGTTGCTGCTTCTCAAATTAATGGGCCCTGAAGTCCCTAATCAAAGCACTTTTTTTTTTTTTTTTTTTTGCCTGGAGGTGGGATTATTCTTTTTTTACAGTTGAATTCATCGAGGGATTTGCAACGTTACATTTGGGGCATTTGTGTGAGACTGGGGTTTCTCCACATTTGCTAACATGGTTCAGTCTTTTCTAGCTTATTGTAAAAATGGGATTTCGACTTCTGTTAAAGAACGTGGTGAATTTATTAGCACTCCAGTTTTGCAGCAACCTGCTTTTCAGATGTTTAGGCACAACTGTGATGTTTTAAGTCTTTCGTTCGCTGCTTGGGATATGAAACTGAACTGAAAGAAAATATTTAGGGCAGCTCCGGTGGCTCAGCGGTTTAGCGCCGCCTTCGGCCGGGGATGTGATCCTGGAGACCCTGGGATCAAGTCCCACGTCGGGATCTCTGCATGGAGCCTGCTTCTCCCTCTGCCTGTGTCTCTGCCTCTCTCTCTCTCTCTCTCTCTCTGTGTGTGTGTGTCTGTCGTGAATAAATAAATAATTTAAAAATATTTAGGGGGATGCCTGGGTGGCTCAGCGGTTGAGCGTCTGCCTTCAGCTCAGGGCGTGATCCTGGAGTCTGGGATGGAGTCCCACATCGGGCTCCCTGCAGGGAGCCTGCTTCTCCCTCTGCCTGTGTCTCTGCCTCTCTCTGTGTGTCTCACATGAATAAATAAATAAAATCTTTAAAAAAAATAAAAATATTTAGGAAAGAAAGTGTTTTCCTGATTGATTTGTATACCAGCAAGTGGTATTTGAAAACCAGACATCGTAAATATGGACGTTTCTTTTCTTTCTTTCTTTCTTTCTTTCTTTCTTTCTTTTTTTTTTTTTTTGGACGTTTATTTCTAAATCTGATTTGCAAATATTCAGATCACCCGGGTGCTGTTGAATTAGAATTTGAATCTCAGATTAATAATGATGAGAAGCTAGTCTTTTTTTTTTTTTTTAAGATTTTATTTACTTATTCATGAGAGCCATACACAGAGAGAGAGGCAGAGACACAGGCAGAGGGAGAAACAGGCTCCACCCAGGGAGCCAGAGGTGGGACTTGATCCTGAGTCTCCAGGATCACTCCCTGGGGGAAGTCGGCTTAGCGCCGCTGAGCCATCTGTGCTGCCCGAGAAGCTAGTCTTAATGCTATTTGTTTTTACAAATCTGGCCTTAGGGTGTTCTTTAGGGTTTGCCTCAAGTGATGATGTTTTAATGAAGAAACTCAATTAAACCTTGGGAATATTGGGGATCCCTGGGTGGCTCAGCGGTTTAGCGCCTGCCTTCAGCCCAGGGTGTGACCCTGGAGACTCGGGATGAGTCCCACATCCGGCTCCCTGCATGGAGCCTGCTTCTCCCTCTGCCTGTGTCTCTGCCTCTCTGTGTCTCTCATGAATAAATAAATCTTAAAAACAGGTCATATGATTACAAAAAGGCTGGAAAGGATACTATAAAATGTTGTCTTATCCCTTACCTCTTGTTTATGTTTTCTTCAACAAACATATAACTTATACCTTATTTTAAAACAAAAATTATAAATGCTTCTTAAAAGAATTATATACCACAGAAAAGAGAAGCCAAGTGGTCAGTTTAGGCTAATTTCCCAAGGTTTTGTTTTGTTTTGTTTTAATAGTAAAATACAGTATATAGTACTCTGTAGCCATTTTTTTTTCCACTTAATATCTTGTGAGCAGTTTCTGACATCCTTTCATGTTCTGGCATTTGTATATAGAAATGTTAAGAATTAAAAAAAATTAATATGAAGAGCTTATGGTGGGACTCTTGTTGGAAGAGGGATAGTAATTGTCTTATACCTGTTATGCATAACTACAATGCCATTTTGACTTATAGTTCTGCTTGTTGAGGGTGGCTTGGGTCTTGGCTAATGGAGGTGAGGGGAGTTTTGACTGAATATGCTTCATGCCACTTCTTGCTCTCATCACTGTGTATATAAAGCATAATTTACACTCCAGAATAAATAATTCAAGGGAAGTCTAATGAAAGGATTAAACAGTGTAGTCATGGTGTTAGGGAAACAGCCAGGTTGTGCAGTACTCTGGAGTTTACAACCTCAAAGCCACTGTCACCTCTAAGCCTGAAGGAAGTAGGGGAAGTAAAGGTTACTGGGGCAAGAAAGGACTGCCGCAAGAGGAGCTCTGCCCTGTGATGGAGCAAGTCAGAGATGGCCTCTCAGGGAGAGAGCTGAGGAAAGATATGCTAAGCTCATTTTCTTTCCTTCAGGTCTGCGAAGAGGGAGGAAAAGGGTGGAGAGTGGGTCTGAAGGGCCAGTGAAGACCTCCAGCCCAGGAATAAGTTACTTTGATGTTTACATTTCAATTCTGTTTTAGTTTAGTGTGTACTTTGAAGTAGCAAGGAGTATCTTTTCCTCCTGCTTCTTTGTAAGTATTGTGAATGGGGCAGAATCAGTTTTTTCTTTAGCTATGAAAGAGCCTAATGATTTAAGAAGCATTATTCAATGTATTATACTAGGACTTCTTTGATAAACCAGATTTTTTAAAAAAGATTTTAGTATTCATGAGAGACGCACAGAGAGAGGCAGAGACACAGGCAGAGGGAGAAGCAGGCTCCATGTGGGACTCGATTCCAGGACCCCAGGATCACGCCCTGAGTTGAAGGCAGATGCTCAACCACTGAGCCATCCAGGTGTCCCTAAAGCAGATCTTTTTAGGATCATTTGTTTTCCTGAAACAGATACTTCTTTTTCTTCAGAAGGTCAGTTTCTCATTATCAAAACAAATTAATTTTGATTGTGAACCTGAGATTATCAGCTCTTCGTGGAATGGCTTTCTAAGTCTAGAAGGTAATAGAGGAAATCAGGAAGAAAAGGCAAATGGTTTTAACCACATAAATCTATTAAACTTCTATATATCCAAACAAAAGTAACCAAAGTAGATGGGAACTATATGTAACATGTGGAACAAATGGTGCTTGATGACCTTTTTCTTAGAAAGACAACAAAATGCAAACAAAAACTAGGAAAAAGCCATTAAATTTTAATTAAGGAATTGTTGCAGGAGGTTGGCAAAATTGAAACCTTAATATTGTAGTAATAATGCCTATTGATAATTTCCCTTGAATGAAGACATGGCTTCAGAATTGAAACAGTACCCTCTTTATCAGCTGTCCCACAGAAGGAATTAGAAGTGCTTTCTATGTCAGGATTCTCTGCTCCTGTGGAGTGCTCAGAGTTGTCAGAATCCTTTCAGTGGGATGGTGGAAGCTGAAGCATGGGGACAATTCTTGCCAGTTTGGGTGTTTTTTTGTTTTTTGTTTTGTTTTTTCTAACTTCTGTGTCATTTGGAGGAGCTTGATTTAGGAGTTAACAGATGATTTAAAACATAAGAAGAAAGGAAGCTGTTGATCAGCAGTGTCCAAATAATGATTTTCATTTTTCCAGGACAGATGGGAGTTTTGTGGTTCATGATATACCTTCTGGATCTTATGTAGTGGAAGTTATATCTCCAGCTTACAGATTTGATCCTGTCCGAGTCGATATCACTTCAAAAGGAAAAATGAGGTAAGAGCATCTGATTTAGTTTTTACAAAAGGCGAGGTTACCAAATACCTCCTATATTGCTTTTAGAATTTATAGTTAGGGCTGAAAAGTTTCTCATGTAAACTACAGATATTCCATGAAACATCCTTACATTATCTTTAATATTAAGTTTTTCCCCTCTGCCACCTAAAATATCCTTATATTATTTTAATCTGAGTGTTGGTAATATTGCAAAGTTGAACTTCCTCCTGCTCTGATTTAAAATTTATTTTAAAGCTCCTAATATGATTATAATCGAGAAGAGGCAAGATTACCTATCATGAGAGCAAAAACTCTGAAGGTTATAATTGCAATATGATTATTGAAGTGGGAAATAATTTAACTTTTCTAAATAGAAATATTACTACCTGTTTTTCATTGGAGTATCTTGATAATACCTCTAAATACCTATTTAATAGTTGTATTAATCTAGAAATTTCTACAGTTCTTCCTTTCTGAAATATTTAGTGTACATTGGAAATTTAGTATTTTTTAGGCAAATGCTAGATTACATTGTTTAGTTTATCTCAAAGTAAGGATCGTGATAAGAAAAAAAGCACAGTATTAGAGGTTGGCAGACTAGGAAAAATTTCAGAATTTCTAAGTAGATGAACATATGATTTGAAGTTTAGGTCAAAAGAATGCTGGACTAATTCAGGTTGTGAGTATGGAATATCACAAATCCTTTTGAAGTTGGAATCCCTTGTGTAGATGTCCAGTTATTCTTTCTGTTATAACCCCAGTTATTTTTTTTTATTGTCCCATACCAGTAATATTCTCTTTGGTCTAATCTGACCAGGAAGTATATGAAACAATTTTATTTATTTTATATACTTGTTTATTTTTTCTAGCTTTATTGAGGTATGGTGACAAATATGAAAGAATTTTGAGTGGTAATGCCTCTTCTTTGAGCTATCACAAAACAATTCCATGTTACAGTAATAAAGCATAGGTCTTGCAAAGGTAAAAATAGATTTGGGGTTCGAGGAGCTCTGTTTTATTACTGATCTTATTGGTATGTGCAAAGAATATTTAGATTGATTTGTAGAGACCCCAAATTCAGCTGACACGATAGAAATAATGTTCAGTTGGTACCATAATATTTACATTTGAGTTTATGCCTAAAAGTTTTTCTTCTTTCTTTGCCTTTTGTTTTTGGACATTGAAAGTTATAAAAGTATAATGTGTAAATATGCTATAATTCACATATAATGAATGAGTCACACATAGAGCTGTCTCATCCTTTATATCAGCTGCTTATTAGTCCATTTATGCCACTGCCTGTTATGGACAGACAGGGGTCCCCCCCTCCCCTTTTTTAAAAGTGAGTGAACAGAGATGATTATTTGTTGGCAATTTAAATTCTTTTTTTTTTTAAGATTTTATTTATTTATTTATTTATTTATTTATTTATTTATTTATTTATTTATTGTTAAGATTTTATTTATTTATTCATAGACCCAGAGAGAGAGAGAGGCAGAGACACAGGCAAAGGGAGAAGCAGGAAGCAGGCTCCATGCAGGAAGCCCGATGTGGGACTCGATCCCGGGTCTCCAAGATCACACCCCAGGCTGCAGGTGGCGCCAAACCGCTGCGCCACCCGGGCTGCCCTAATAAATTTATTTTTATTGGTGTTCAATTTTTCAACATACAGAATAATACCCAGTGCTCATCCGACAAGTGCCCACCTCAGTGCCTGCCACCCAGTCACCCCCACCCCCTGCCCACCTCCCCTTCCACCACCCCTAGTTCGTTTCCCAGAGTTAGGAGTCTTTCATGTTCTGTCTCCCTTTCTGATATTTCCCACTTATTTTTTCTCCTTTCCCCTTTATTTTTTTTTCCTTTCCCCTTTATTCCCTTTCATTATTTTTTTTCTTTTTTTTTTAATTTTTATTTATTTATGATAGTCACAGAGAGAGAGAGAGAGAGAGGCAGAGACACAGGCAGAGGGAGAAGCAGGCCCCATGCACCGGGAGCCCGACGTGGGATTCGATCCTGGGTCTCCAGGATCGCGCCCTGGGCCAAAGGCAGGCGCCAAACCGCTGCGCCACCCAGGGATCCCCCTCATTATTTTTTATATTCCCCAAATGAATGAGACCATATAATGTTTGTTCTTCTCCGATTGACTTATTTCACTCAGCATAATACCCTCCAGTTCCATCCACGTCGAAGCAAATGGTGGGTATTTGTCGTTTCTAAAGGCTGAGTAATATTCCATTGTATACATAAACCACATCTTCTTTATCCATTCATTTTTCGATGGACACCGAGGCTCCTTCCACAGTTTGGCTATTGTGGACATTGCTGCTAGAAACATTGCTGCTAGTGCAGGTGTCCCGGCGTTTCATTGCATCTGTATCTTTGGGGTAAGTCCCCAGCAGTGCAATTGCTGGATCATACGGCAGATCTATTTTTAACTCTTTGAGGAACCTCCACACAGTTTTCCAGAGTGGCTGCACCAGTTCACATTCACACCAGCAGTGTAAGAGGGTTCCCTTTTCTCCACATCCTCTCCAACATTTGTTGTTTCCTGCCTTGTTAATTTTCCCCATTCTCACTGGTGTGAGGTGGTATCTCATTGTGGTTTTGATTTGTATTTCCCTGATGGCAAGTGATGCAGAGCATTTTCTCATGTGCTTGTTGGCCATGTCTATGTCTTTCTCTGTGAGATTTCTCTTCATGTCTTTTGCCCATATCATGATTGGATTGTTTGTTTCTTTGGTGTTGAGTTTAATAAGTTCTTTATAGATCTTGGAAAAGACTTTATTTATTTATTCATGAGAGACAGAGAGAGAGAGAGGCAGAGACACAGGCGGAGGGAGAAAAGCAGGCTCCATGCAGGGAGCCTGATGTGGGACTTGATCCAGGGACTCCAAGATCACACCCTGGGCCAAAGGCAGGTGCCACACCACTGAGCCACCCAGGGATCCCTAAATTCTTGATACTATCATGAAACTAATATAATGATGCCACTAAAAATAAATTCTTTAAAAATTTTCTCCTCTATTTTTTTTTTAAATTTTTATTTATTTATGATAGTCACACACACACAGAGAGAGAGAGAGAGAGACAGAGAGAGAGAGAGAGAGAGAGAGAGAGAGAGACATAGGCAGAGGGAGAGGGAGAAGCAGGCTCCATGCACCGGGAGCCCGACGTGGGATTCGAGCCCGGGTCTCCAGGATCGCGCCCTGGGCCAAAGGCAGGCGCTAAACCACTGCGCCACCCAGGGATCCCTCTCCTCTATTTTTGAAGTTAAATTGTTGTCTTAGAATAGTCTAGTTTGTCCAAATTCTAATCATATTTCTTGCTGTTGTCTATTTAGAGCAAGGGTGAAGCTTGAATTGAAGGTAATGTCTTATAAATATGTTTATAAATATTCTTTGATAGAATAAATGGACTTTGAATTTCAAAGTGGATGAACCTCATTAGGTATCAAATTTCTCGTCTTTTTAGAGACATAAAGATTTTTAATAAAATATATAGGTAAAATCCTAGTATGTTAAATTTAAACTTTAAAGGACTTATCATGACTTATAAATTTTAGAATTGTAAGCTTAGAGTTGGGTGGGTATGTAGATTACACTTTCTATTATATACACATTTAAGTGTTTTTTTTTTTAATATCAAAAATACCAAATCCTGGAGGAAATGAGGATTGTTAAAAGGGATACTTGTATGTTAGAAACTATATTTTTATTTACTTTTGCTCTGAATTTTGAATAAAGTAGTCTAAGAAAATGGGAATATTTTTCTGTATATGAAGGTTTTTTTTGCTTTTTGCTGTGGGTAAAGAGTACTTCCTGCTTTAGCATTTAAGGACTAGTTGCAGCAGTGGGATTCATGTTCTCGGTTTCCTTCCTGATGATTGGATGCCTGAAACTAGGTAAAAATCATGGCCCTTATTTTAATAATTGGAAGTGGGACAGAATAGAGAACAGAGTGGGATTCATATAAGATCCTAATATTTGTGACCAACATTTTTGTAAACATGCATGGTAATATGACAGACATTTCCTTTTAAATATATAGCACCCAAATGAGTAAGGGAAATCCTGGGAGGACAAACTATAAACCATTTTCCCACCTGAGGGTTTTGATACTCTAACCAAAATGCTTAGATTTGGGGCACCTGGGTGGCTTATTCAGTTATGCATCTGACTCTTGATCTTAGCTCAGGTCTCAGCTTGTGGAGACTGGGGGAAAAAAAAGCTTAGATTTTATTAGCAGTATGTAGGTAAGAGCCTTAAGATTGTTTTGAGCCAGAATTAGATCTAAGACTTGATTCCCCCTTTGACCCTTGGCACTAAAATCCAGAAGACCAGGCTCCCAATCTGAAAAATCTGTCCTGAAATTTAATAGTCCCAGTCCTACCTTCACTGAAATTTGGGGTGTGAATTGATTACTTCTTGCATAATCCAGAAACTTTGAAGCTGTGCAATTAACAAGATCATCCGTTTTCATAATCTTGGCCTCCTGGCAGAGACAAATGCATAACCTCTCTGCAGGGAAATACTCTGTCCAGGTCCACACATAAATAAAGTATATAACTTATCAAATACCCCCTAAAAAACAATGTACATGGAGTCAGTAGATGAATTAGACGTCTTAGAACCTCAGATAATAGAATTCTTGGATATGGACTATGAAATAGTTTAAAGTATGTTTAAATCGCTTATACAAATAAAAGATTTATTGCCGTAAGAGTAAAATACTATAAAAATAGACCATAGATATTTGAAAAAAGGACAAAATAGAACTTCTACAATAAATACAGGTTTTGGAATACAAAATTCAATGCGTGTATTAAACAATTGAACAGAGATTTGATGAACTGGAAGATGGATCAGAAGAAATTTACCCAGAATGCAGTACACCTAAAGGAATGGACACGGTGAAAGAATTTAATAAGATGCCAAGTAGAGAATAAAAAGGTGGAACAGGTGTCAAGTAGAAATTCCATAAGGAAATGAGCGAATGGTGGGGAGGCAGTTTTCAAGAAGTAAACTGGAACATGTGTGAACATGGGTGAGAGTGTTAATTAAAATTAGTGGCATCTCTGGTGAAAATGTAGTATTACCTATGGCACTGTTGCAGGACTTTCTTAAATGATAAATTTTTCCTGCAGAATAAACGTGAAAATTGAGTGTGTTCATTAATGCATATCTCAAGCAATCAAAGAAGTAAAATCCAGCATTTTTATATATTTGTAACAATTATTAAATATAATCAAAGAGCTTTACAGCTAGAAGAATTCTCAAAGAACTTTTGATATAACCAGAGAAGAATTTGTTTAATCCCACAGGCCTAGGTAATAACAGAACTATAGCTAGAAATTAGGTCTCTTTTTTTTTTAAATTTTTATTTATTTATGATAGTCACACAGAGAGAGAGAGAGAGAGGCAGAGACATAGGCAGAGGGAGAAGCAGGCTCCATGCACTAGGAGCCCGACGTGGGATTCGATCCTGGGTCTCCAGGATCGCTCCCCGGGCCAAAGGCAGGCGCCAAACCGCTGCGCCACCCAGGGATCCCGAAATTAGGTCTCTTGATTCCAAGTCTGGTGTTCTTCCTCTACAGTTTGCTAAATATTTTAGAAATACAGATAAAGCTACTTTGATCAGATTTTTAAAATAAAAAATTTAGATGCCAGAGCATTTTAGAAAAAGCTAAAGGTAATTAAAAGGCAGTGCTAATGTATTATGAGTAGTTTTTTTAATTAGTAATGTTTTTGATGAAATTACTGATGCTTTTTTCATGTTGCTTTATCAGAGCAAGATATGTGAATTATATCAAAACATCAGAAGTGGTCAGACTGCCTTATCCTCTTCAAATGAAGTCTTCAGGTCCACCTTCTTACTTTATTAAAAGGGAATCATGGGGCTGGACAGACTTTCTAATGAATCCGATGGTATGTATCTGTACAATTAAGTATCTTTACTAATCTCTAATTTGATTCCAGGTAGTTGAAAAGTTCTAACCCTGGTGAGGAGGAAAAGTCAAATTATTAAGATGAAAGGATAATTGTGAATAGTTTTATTGATTTCAGGAAAATCATATCTTTGGGAATATTAATGAAAAGAATATAGTGAGAATTGCATGGTAGATTTGACATTGAAATGTGGAACAGCAATGTGATAAATATGATGAAATGTTTTAAAATGCAAATGGAATAAGAATATGTGGCAAGTCACGTGGAGTTAGCTGTCTCATCCTTCATACTACCTGCATATCAGTCCAGTGATGAATGTGCCATCATTTATTGATCAGCCACTATTGGTGGCTTGAGTAAGGGTTTTTCTCCTTTTTGCATATGTGTAGTAAACAGAAAAATTAATCTGTGGTAATTTAAATACAAAGTATGAAACTAATGTTATGGTATCCACTGATAATAAAACACTAATAGAATGCATTCTTTAGAAACAAATGGACTTTGTTTTTCTGCTTCTGGAAATTGAATTATTATCTTGCAATTGTGTAAGTGGTGATCATATTCCTTTCTGATAGCTTATTTAAGTCACAGAATATTTGGGGACTGTACATTTTTTGAAAGGAATAAATAGTACCTAAAATCTGCTATCAGGCATAAAGAAGCAGGAGAGTAGAGTGAATAGGGGAAATCAGCAATGAGACTCCAAAGCTTATTAAGAAATATCTTCCATGTTTTCATTTCTGAAATTCCATGGAAACATACCTACTACTAGAAGCTTCTAATGCATTTTTAAAAACTCATCTGTTATAGTAGTCACCTAGTAGCCTATAATACAGGCTTGAGAGGATGTGCATTAATTAGAGGGGCATATAATATTTTCTGCAAGAACCACAAAGTTATCTGGAAAGAGCCTAGCTGGCCATCAGGATCATCATTCTTAATGCCAGACTGCAGATTAAAGAAAGTGAATAGTTATGTTAGCAAACTGTGTTAAATTGTAAACTCTGCAAAATGTTAAGTGGTGTAGATAGGAAGTGAGGTGACTATAAAGTCCAAACCTACATAGGTAAGGCTCTTATACTTTATAGGAATTAAACATTGAGGAGCACCTTATATCAACAGGACTGGGTCAGTAGAATTGAGGTGCTGCCGCTAGTTTTATTGTGTATATAACATTTGAGTCTTTAATTTTATCATCATTTCAAACATTTTTTGGATTTTTTTTTTCTTTCCACAGGTTATGATGATGGTTCTACCATTATTAATATTTGTGCTTCTGCCCAAAGTGGTCAACACAAGTGATCCTGACATGAGACGGGTAAGATTATTCCCCCGCTGTGGATTTTTGAACGGTATTCTGATGCCTGAACCAGCTGTTGTGGCTGACCGGCTTGGGGTTTTTTTGGCTTTATCCTAATTCCCAAGCCAAATTCATTCAGAGGTTGTGTTAACACAGTATCGTGTTCCAGCCATTTAATTAGTTGTTTCCATTGGACCAGATAAATTGTTGGTTCTGCCTCATAAAAGCCTGGATCTCTTCATATAGCTAAAAAACTCTGCCTAGTACTGTGTTTGTGCCTCATTTGTTAAATAGTTGAAATGCATAATAATCCTGGTATCCCAGTCCAAATAGTTTGCAAAATGATAGCTTCTTACAATTTATTTTTACTTTACAAAACCCTTCAGAGTACACATTTAGTTTATATGTTCAGATACATACACACACAAATTCTGATCACCAAGGGAGAAAACTAGAATAGTGGCTTCCAGACTTCACCACAAAATCATACTGATTTGTCAATGGGTGGGGAGTTGCCAAGTAAGATCCTTCAAATTTGGGTGCCACTGCTTTGTCTTTTTAAAATTTTGGCTTCCATAAAATCTTCAGAATTTTTTTAACCATTACTTTTCTTCTACCTGGAAACCATCAACAAATATCTCCTGAGTTCCAGGTTTTTCCATTTTATATAATATATTGATGTATTGACACCTTATTCATTGCTGAATGAACATTTATTGATTGATAGCTAGGTATGGACACTTGGGATACAAAAATAAATTGTATATCATCTCTGTGGTCAACAAGCTCAGAGTCCGTTAAATGTAGGAAATACAATGGATTTATGAACACTCATCTTGCTATCAGGATTGTAGGTGTATGTGTGAGTGTGTGTGTGTTTTAAATGGGAAAATAAGATACACATAAAATAAATACAAATGTTTGCTGAGGTAGTAGGTCATCAAGTTCTGTAGAAGGCAAGGCATTTATTCCAAACTGGAATAGCAGAAAAAACTTCATGTTTAAAGAAAGCTTTATGATATTTCAGAATATCTTATTCCCAAATTTGACATTTTAGTTTCAGCATTGGTCAGAAAGTGTACATCCTTGTAATCCTTGTATCTATTAAGCCAGTTAACTCTGTGGCATTAGTAGAAGGAAACACTAGTGGTCACATTGGATCAAAAATTCATTCCTTGCAAAGTGCTTTGCACATAGTAAGCAGTATAAAAAGTTCTTTAATCAGGAGCTTCAGAATTGGAGAGATTAAAAAATAGAATTGATATGTTTAATGCAGGGTCTCAAGATCTCTTGCCACATACATTTAATTCTTGATTATTAGAGCACGTTAACATGTTTTATTTATGCTTATAACATTTCTTTTCCTAGCCATATATGTAAAAGTACTTTCTCCCTGAGAACCTGTGTATAAATTCTACCTTTGGGAAGAAAGCCTAAGCTAATATCCAAGTAGTGTTGTTCAACTTTAAATGATAGATAATACAGTATTTGCTATTCTTTTTTCATGTGTGAACTAATACAATTTTAAGTTCACTTTTGGAATGTAATGTAAAATTTAAATGTAGCATGTATTACATTAGTATTTTTAAAGGTAGAACAGTACTTTATAGATTGTTGGCTCAGTAGAGGACAAAACTGTAAAATGAAGATACCAAATCCACATGAGGTCCTACCAGTGATTTATTGTAACATTTATGTTGCTTGCTTTAGATGCTGTGATGAGGTTACTCGGGCTGTATAGATTTACCACTAAGGGCCTTAGGAATGGAATATTGGAAATACTGTAGTTACTTTTCAAACATTTCTGATAACCTTGGTATATAATTAAAGATTGATACTCTTTTTTATATGCATTTAAAGAAAGCATGAGTTAAAAAAAAAACACTTGGTAAAACAGTAAAAAAGCATTTTTATCAGAAAACCTAAAATAAGATGGCAAGAATATGATCACATATAATCTTAGAAAATACCCGTTATGAAAACATAAGCTGAATCAAACCCTATGCAAGATTTATTGGGGATTAATTAAGGATCACAATACTTCGTAGTAAAAAGGAGGTATGAAACATGGTTTCTGAAGGGGCGGTGGGTATAACATTGCTGAGAACCAGTAGCTTCTACTTGTATTCCTCTCCTTTAATGGAAGTGATATTTGTTAACTGACTTGAAAGATCTCAGTGCCTTTCCAGTTATTGTGCTTTGTCCTCTTGCAGGAGATGGAACAGTCAATGAACATGTTGAATTCCAACCATGAATTGCCTGATGTTTCTGAGTTCATGACAAGACTCTTCTCTTCAAAATCGTCTGGCAAGTCTAGCAGTGGCAGCAGTAAAACAGGCAAAAGTGGGGCTGGCAAAAGAAGGTAGTTGGACCATGTGGAGATAGCATTTGCACAAACACAGCAACACTGGGTGACATCCAAGTTTTGAGGGGAAACCGTGTGAAGCAACTACTGTAAATTTGAGTCATCCTTAAAGTTGATCTCTTATAACTGTTGTGTGTGGTAACTCTTCAGCACGTGTTTTGTACTTGGTACACAAGAAAACCCAGCTTTCATCTTTTATCTGTATGAGGTCAATATTGATGTCACTGAATTAATTACAGTGTCCTATAGAAAATGACGTTAATAAATTATATGAAGTACTATACATTATGTATATTAAAATGTCTTAATCCAGAGATGAAATGATCTTGTTACTTCTCTTTCACTTAGTGTTTCTTTTATTCCAAACAGTTTTCTTCTTTCATTATATGAGGCTTAAAATTGACATTTCCTATTTAAAAAGAAGTGGCTTATATTTTTGGAGCTGCATGTGCCATGGTTTTTTTTGTGTAGCCAGACCTTACAAAATTATTAGCCCTGCCCTGCATTTAAACATTAGGGAATGTTTGGGGTGGAACCATATGTTCCTGATGTAGTTTTAATTTATGTTATTACAGTTAATTTCAAGAGTATAGATGAGAGTACATGTTACTAGTTCTTAAATTTTGGTTACCGTCTATGGGATTCATTATTGACTCTCAGTAATAGACTGTGCTTCAAGGTGGGAGTCAGAGATGGATGATGTCTAGTGCCTGTCCACAATAGAGCTTGTTATGTAGGGAGGAAACACAAATAATAACAGGTTATGAATGGTCAGGGGAAGGAAGTGCAGTGGTGGCAGAGCCTCCTGGAAACTAAGGGTGGAAAATCAACCTTAGAGCTCCTGGTGTAATTTTGGTAGTATTGCACAGGTAGCTTTTAAACCCCATCATCTGGGGATCCCTGGGTGGCGCAGCGGTTTGGTGCCTGCCTTTGGCCCAGGGCGCGATCCTGGAGATCCGGGATCGAATCCCATGTCGGGCTCCCGGTGCATGGAGCCTGCTTCTCCCTCTGCCTGTGTCTCTGCCCCCCCCCGCCCCCCCCCGTGACTATCATAAATAAATAAATAAATAAATAAATAAATTTTTTTTGAAATAAATCCCATCATCTCTTCTATCACTCTCAGACTTGTTGGAATATAGATTACCTTACTTTCCATTCAGGATTATCTCAAAAGCTTTTTTTTTATTTCAAAAAGTCATAAAAATTTCAGACCTTTTCTTTTGCTTTATTTTAATTAAATGTGAATTCCAAAACTATACTCTAGTAAAGGTTTCCTATCCTTTTCTATGTTAAAGAACCCCCCTATTTTCTTAAGGTTGTTAGTCAGCCAAAAATAACAATAACAACAAAAGATTGATTCCAAAGTCTTATTTTCCCTTTTGTGTAGGTACCATTGTTCATTTTGAAATGAGGTTCGTAACTTTTCTTATAAAGATGTAAGTTCTGATACAGAACATTTTATTAACTATATCTATTTTTAAATTATATACTACAGTTACAAGCTGGTTAAGCTATGAATGATTAAGGTGGATAGACTGGTTAATGGTAGAACCAGGTAGGTCTTTGAAAATAGTCATTTATTGAAAATAATTAAAATACTAGAATACTATTTGAATGGAAGCTGCAATTTATTTATTTATGTATTTATTTTATTTATTAAAATATTTATTTATTCATGAGAGACACAGAGAGAGAGAGAGAGAGGCAGAGACACAGGCAGAGGGAGAAGTAGGCTCCATGCAGGGAGCCCAATGTGGGACTTGATCCCGGGTCTCCAGGATCACGCCCTGCACTGAAGGTGGTGCTAAACTGCTGAGCCACCGGGCTGCCTGGAAGTTGCAATTTAAAGGAGACAGAATATAGTGAGAGTCACAGTTGTATGGCTAGAAATTATCCTGAAAATTTTCAAAATTTGAATTGTCAAAATTTGCACACAGACTACCTAATGATCAAAAAATTAGGAAAGCACTTCCAAGGAAATTATCATTTCATGAGCTAATTAAGAAACTTTGTGGTTATTTTACATAAATTATAAAGCCATCTGAATATAAAATACATCCCTTATGGTACAGAATGTTTTTACATCAATTATATATGAAACTCTTATCTTTGCATAGAACCCTCATCAAATGCTTAGTGTGCTTACAAGTACAGAAATGATTGTATTTTATTAGGCAATATTGGGTTCAGTACAAAGAAGCCATTTAGCTGCTAACTTGCTTTGTGACTTTGGGCAAGTCACTTTCCCTCTTTGAGCCCTGTCTTGTCTTGTTCATTGTTGTATTTCCAGCATTGAGCGTGTGGGCACACAATAAATGTTTGTTAAATAAATAAATAAATGGGCCTCAAGTTTCCTCCTCTGTAAATTGAGAGATTTAGATTAGACCTGTAAATTCCTTTTCAGATCTAAAATTACTCCACTACAATTCTAAGCTGGTCCTACTACTTCCTACCTGCAAGAACCATATATCAGTGCCAAGTTTTTCTTTTCCACTTCCTCAGATTCTTTCTGCTGTTCCCCATTTGGAACAGAGCAAAGTATTATTTTGCTCTTTAGGGCCTTAGATTCAGTGTACATATATCTCCTTAATATAAGTTTGTGTTTTAAAATTTTTCACATCTACTAATTTAAACCTGAGTAGTGATTTTGCAAAACAAATTTTTGTTGCCCATTCTTTTTTTTTTTTTTTTTTAATTTATTTATTCATGAGAGAGGCATAGACACAGGCAGAGGGAGAAGGAGGCTCCTTGCAGGGAGCCCGATGTGGGACTCGATCCCAGGACCCCAGGATCATGACTGGAGCCGAAGCAGACGCTCAACTGCTGAGCCACCCGGGTCTCCCTTTGTTGCCCATTCTTGCCAGGAAGTCCTGAGTGCCCAGAATGACTTCCAGGGAGGATCCATAGTTCCCAAGTTTTTAAGCAGTTTTTTGGAAGTGCAAACCTCAGGACTCATCCTGAGTCTGGCTACCATTTTGAAAAGATTTAAGATTTTACCTAGCCTGCCCAGAATAGTAAAGTATCTTATTTTTCTCTTATGTTTCCTCTGACAGGAGGGAAGAAACAACCAATTAACATACTTTTCAGTAATTAGAAGGGTTTCGAGGTCCCAATGAGGAATGTCAATAATGATACAGGAGAGCTTTTTTATTTAAGTAGTCACTCAAGCTTTCAGGAAGTGCTCAAATTAAAAAAATACCTATTGAAAATATTTTTATTAAATATCTTAAAAAATTAAACCAATTATTTTCATTTTTGTTTATTGCCTTCTAGGTTACAAGTAGACCTATTTTTCCATGTTTACAATTATTCATGTGCCATTTTGTTTAAACTCAACAAAAATTCTGCTAAGTACTAATCTCAGGGAATATAATAGAAACTAGTGGCTGAGTCCTTCAGTTCTGTTCAAGGACTATGTTGAGACAGGACCTAGTTGTATTGTACTCTTCTTGTAGCATTTTAGGTGTGATTATTGTCATTTGGAGTTAATTATTTTTTAATTTGTAAGGTATGTGAAAATATTCAGTTGGTAAAAGTGTATTATTCAGGAGAACTTAAGGATGGATTTTACAAAATTCAGATGTTGACTATAAATTATGAACATTGTCTTAATGTTCTTGAAACAAAGATGAACTATTAAAAGAGTTATTTTAGAGAAAAAAAAAGTCCCCCCTCCAATATCACCAAATACTAACTTAACTCTTTTCCCTTTGTAACATGACTTTATTATGGGAGCATAGGGGAACTGAAGGCATTCATAACAGCTACATTCTGGTGGGACTGAGCCAGCCAGGCAAGCAAGTGAATTAAGAGGGTCAAGTAGTAAACAAGACGAATAGGTAGAGCCAAAAAAAACTAACTGTGCACGGCATTTCCAATAGAAAACATTTGACAGGGCATTTAATTCCACTAAAATTTAATAAACTAGTAATTCAAGATTCACATGTGTACCTCTTTAGATCTCAGGTTTTCCATATGAATGTAGGTAATTTATTCCACTCACTTATAATGAACTCCTATATATATTTGAGTATTTTTTTTAAAAGATTTATTTATGAGAGATAGTGAGCGAGCAAACTGGGGCAGAGGAAGAAGGAGGGAGAATATTCTCCTTAAGCAGACTCCCGGCTGAGTGCAGAGCCCGATGTAGGGCTCAATCCCAACACCCTGAGATCATGACCTGAGCTGAAATCAAGAGTACCACTTAACTGAGTCACCCAGACACCCCTATAATTGAGTATTTAAAAACATATTTCTAAATAACTATATTTTTAAAAATTAGAAAATATTTAGAATTTATGAAAATTTGCCATGCAAAGTAAGAAATAGAATCATCCAGGGGCGCCTGGGTGGCTTGGTCTGTTAAGCGTCTGACTCTTGGTTTCAGTTCAGATCATAATCTTGGGATTGTGAGATTGAGCCCTGTGTTGGGCTCTGCTCTCAGTGAGGAGTCTGCTTGAGATTCTCTCTCCCCTTCTCCCTCTGCCCCTCCCCTCCTGCCCTCTCTCAAGTAAATAAATAAAATAGAATCATCTAGAAGTGTTATGAGATGAATCATAAAGGACCATGAGAAGATGTATAAGGAAAGCTCCCTTGTAATAACTGTTATCATGGAATCTTGTGCATTATACACAAGAAAGAAATACCAGGGCACCTAGGCTGGCTCAGTCAGTGGAGCATTCAACTCGATCTTGGGTTTGTGAGTTTGAGTTCTACAGTGGTTGTGGAGCCTACTTTAAATTAAATTAAAAAGAGAAATACCATTTTACACTCGTCTTTCCACAGGACTGTGTGGACCTCCCCACCAACAGCTAGTTGGACCAAGGGAGGGACTTGAGTCAGTCAGTGAGGTGGTATTGGATCAGAGAAGGCATCATGTTGACCCCAAGCTACAGGGAAGCAGAATCAACCACGGAATTTACAAAGCTAAGGAATCTGGCCTGCAAAGAATATAGCAAATATCCAGCTTGGAGACCATGGTGACCCCAGAGAGTGATGGAGAGAGTAATTGCTGGATAATCTTTCAGGTCCACAGAGGTTCACTTGCCCTTCTTGCAGTGGATTCCATGAAGCCTTCTTGAATCCCTTCCCTCACTTTCCCCACCCTAACCCCTTATCATCTATCCTGACTAGGTGAGTCCACATCCAGTTTTATCCTCTAGATTAGGACACTCAGAGAAGGTCGAGAGACAAGTTGCGGTGAGTAATAGTCATGTTTGTCTATACAAATGGTTCTACTCACCTCATGACTATATTAATTAGAACTAATTAAGGAAGGATTGAAGGGTCTGTAATTTTTGCAGTTTGGTAAATA